TTCCTTCGACACCCGTATGCTCGCACACACCTGCAGACTGCAGAGATGGATTGGAAGTCGCGGTTTCTTCCAGATCGGCCGCCGCCCCGGCCCCCTCATGCCGGGGTCGGCGGCAGCGGCGCAAGCCCTTAATTAAGGATGAGAGTATATTTCGGACGGAGTCATCATCTAAACCAAATATCGCAGACCATCATGGAACCTCACCGAAAAAATCCAGTCCTGCCGGATCTCTGTTTGTGCTGTCCAGGGAAGAGGTTGCTTCTCTTGACAAGCCGCTGCAGACAGGAATGACGGATCAGTCCATGTGCATGAAGGGAGTTCGACTCTCACGCGACCTGGCCTCTCACGCAGGCGGGCCAACTCAGTGTGCAAGTGCCCCTGGCACAAATCCACAAAGCAGGCTAAAACAGACTGTGAAAAGCGCCAATCAGTGGGATCGGGATGCTCAGATGCATCACACCGACTTAGAAGCAGCAGTGGCAGCATAACGAGCACAACATACTGGCAATCTCTCCAAAAAGCATCAGTCGCATGCAACAGGCGAGAAGCACATTCTCCTGCGCCAGTCTTGTCGCTTCGCGACAAGTCTCCAGGTGGGCTAACCTGTGCATGGCTTCGAGCATGGGCGTCGCACAGGGTTCGGAAAAACTTCACGAACATGGTGTGAGCTCCTGGCTCTTTTTCCTGCAGCTCGCCTTGGACCTCCCTCTTTTGCCTGGGAGGCAGATTGCGTTGGTGTCTGAGGGGCCTTGCATGGCCTTACTGGAAAATTGCAACGACTTAGGCAAAAGCTGCGCGACAAGCCGCCCCAGTGTTGCCTTCAAGTGCACCTGTCACAACACAACGCAACATACAAAAAAAAAAACCTGATGCCCAGCCCCAGTCAAAGTGGGCTAGGTCAGCACGGTGCTGCATAAAGCAAGCAGGCATGACGTTCTCCTGGGATAGGCGTGTCGCCTCTCTGCAGGTGTGCGTATGGGCCAGCCTTGCTCGGAATGGACTTACTAGGGCGTCAGTAGGGAATATGGGAACATATTTCATAGGGATTATAGAGGGATTTGGATATTCCCTTATTCCCTACTAAGAACCAGCAAGTGGACTTTTGACGGTGTGGGGTTCTGACTCAGGCGCATGTCGCCTCAACCTATGTTCAAGCAAGATGCTCTTTCCGCTGAAGCTCATCATGCAGCTCCTTGTTGTGCCTACAAGGCTGGCGTGGAGGCATCAAAGTGGCCTCTGCTAACTTCCATCAGCGCCTTTGTAGCTCCTGGATCTGCGTGTCCTGCAGCAAAGCGGACACGTCTCGTCTCACCCTGAAACATATCGTGGGCTACTTTTGCACACCAGCAGCATGCCCTTCGTCAGCACACCTAACTCGACTCAGACAACGCCTTGTGCCGTAGAAGCTTCTCAGCCGCATTGTGGAGCTCCTAGTCAACTTGCATTTGCACTAGGCATTTTGAAAAACAGTCTATCAGCCTACAAGCTCTTCACATCAAGTTAAAAGAAGACACAAATTGTCAAACCCACACATGGGTAGAAGGCAAGTCTCCTTGGCCTCTGCTACATCCTGGGCGAAAGTCAACGCAATGGCCAGAGGAGCTGTGAGGAGACAACCACAGCGCAAGGTGTTCTGCAAAGCCTCCGGCCTTGGGAACTACGTAGCCAGTTCCCGGCAGACCTTTGTCACGCTCACGCTGCTGTCTACTGATGTTGGACATGCGAGGCTTCCATCAAAATCACTACTATCTCTAGCAGCGCTCTACCAGCACCACTGTCCCCACCACCATCCAAAACAACACGACTAGCAAAGTGCGTTCGTTCACTTTCCGGTTCTTCATACTTGCCAACATATTGCACTGCAGCACATTAAGGTTGAGCCAAGTAAGCCTCGTGGTTTTCAGTGTTTGCTGAACACATGTTACGCGGAGTGCTGGATCGCTTCGATGGTGGATATGTGTGACAAGTTGTCCTTGGCTGCAGGTCGACCTCGTGGCAGAATTCGAGTACCCCAACACCGCGAAGTCTTGGGCTTGAGTCAAAGAGTGCACACCGCACACTTTCATGGACTTAAGGCATCAAAGCGCAGACAGGCCTTTGCAGCGAATCGGTCAGGCCAGCCCTCGCCCCACCCCCTCTAAACTAAGTTCCGCTGTCCCGCGCTAGCCATTCAATCGTTATGATTGTCTGGCTTGTGTATGAACCTCGCTTGGGCTGCCACGTTTGTTCGCATCCGCCGCCTCAACACAGTCACAGTCCGGCTTGCGGCAAGACAACAGCACTTTTTGTACTTCCCTACTGCTGCTTGACTAGCTGTGCTTCTACGACTCGAGAGACATGGTATACTAGCCAGTCACTTTCAGCTGCAACATGCTCCTCTCCGCCACGCTGGTGTGCCAACCATTACCGATCTTTTATCCAAATTTGGGCAACATCCTGCAAGTTCTGTTTGAGGTCCATTACTGAGCAACTTAAACAGGGTTCCTTTCCCTGGTCTCTTCCACACAACTGGTAAAGAAGCACCATCCAGCAAAAGGCCTGAAGGTTGCGCCGGCATTCACTGTACTGCTCGTACAATGCTTGTAGTCCCTGGAGGCAAAGCAAGTTCATCCTGCAAAAGGACTCGATGAACACGTGAGCATCCCTCCAGAAGTAGATCACAATTTGACACACAGTGGCATGCACCAACTGCATCCCATTGCATCCCACCGATGGCAAGTCGCCGCACGTTTGGCAGGCTGTGAACAATTTTTGCGAACAAATCTGTCACGCCTGCAATTGGCAATCTCGCTGCTTGACTTGTTCCAGCAAGCTAGCGCCTCAGAGCAGAAAGGACCGCAACTCCTGGAGTATGCGCTCTAGAGTTCCCGCTCAGTAATGCTTAAGCACTGGACGCCACCTCTGCACCGATGGCTGGCTGTCACCTCAAAGGGAAGATTTGCTTGATCTCTAGTAGGAGGATGTTGATTGTACTAAACCCTACTACTAGCAGCCAATGGCACTCCCCCAACCATCCATAGGTCTGGCTTTTCGGATCAGAATAATGACCGTTCTACCTGCTAAGAAGGCACCCCTTGGACCGTTGCCGGTCTCAGGAGGCTCTTGCTCATGCTCTTCGAGCGCCTGATTGGCAGCGTCAAAGATGTGTGATGAGTAGAACCGTACGACTACACAACTCGCATTCTTGCACGACTTTTCTGGTATTCTTGTGCGAACTGATTTATTTATGCGCAGTAGATTTGATAATCTCTGCTCAGCTGCCCGCAGCACAAATAAGGCAATGTGCGTAATCTATACAAAAATTGGTCAGCGTTTTCTCGCGCCTTCCTGTCACAAGCGTCGGCGATGCTTGACTGCACGTCCTTGCACCGGAAAATCCACACCAGCAGATGGTGCTCGAGACTTTTGCGAAGTACTTATGCTGAACGCGCCTATGCCGCCAGGCTATTCAAGCTAAAATGCATTCAAAAAATTGCAGCAGACGAAGAAGATCGCTCGAAAATTAGACACTTCAGAGGAAAGTCGTCCAAACCTTTGGCTGGCAGATCTGCCACATCTCACTGAAGGTAACGCTAGAAGTATTATCTGCCAGGCCACGCGTGGTATATCTTCCGACACTGCGGAACTCATCCGGCCTCGGCAGCATCTTCGAACGCCTCCACCATGAATGGGCAGGCCCATGCGGGCTCTGCATGAATGTGGCTGTGTTTGAGAACTGGCGTTGCTCTGAGGAAAACTAAGTGGCGTAAGTCGCAATTTGTGGCAGCCTGCTGCAGCTTGCTGATCCTGCGTGTCACTATCTCGCAGTTGCTCTTGGTTCAGCATGTACCGTACTACATATCACGATGCATGTGCAATGAGCGTGCTCCATTTGCATATCTGCAGTGTTGCATTGAGCCCGGCAATGTAGGCGGAACAGGCACTCCGGGGGCAAGGTCCGAGCGATTCGGCTGACACGGGAAGGTCCCGGCGAAAAGCAGGCAGCAACACGGCTCAAAGTAGCCTTTGCTCCGCTCATCTTCTCTGCCGCTGGCTGCTATGAGCTGCGGGCTGATTTCTCGTCCGGCGACATGGTCCGCTCCTTGCCCAGGATGACCTGCCGCGCAGGTCTGGTAGTCCCTTGAAAAATGTCCTGCTCCTCATTTTTTCGGGTCCTCAACGTCGTCGACGTCGACTGCAACTTCAATCTGCATGCAGAGCTCAGCCTCAGGGGGCCACTTGAGCGTTGGCGTCAGCTTTGGACAGTTTGTGAGAAACGAGTTTCGAGCTCTTCTCTGGAAGCTTGCAGGAAACCGTAACTTGGCTGTCAAAGAGGACGCCGTCAGCTGCGCAGTCATCGACCTGTTTTCTCTGCAGGCAGAGGTTCTCAGTCATGCCGTGATTGCTCCTGATACAGCTGGTCAACCGCTGTGTGGTTGTTTCTCCGATGGCACAAATTACAATCTTGAATCTTGTGAATGCGTACATCATCCATACTGAGGAGCTCGGTTCCTTCAAGATTGGCAGCTTTCGTCAGGCAGCTATGATTCACAAATCTGACTGTGGTCGGATGATTCGTCTTGGGGGTCTGGCATGCCTAGAATTCAGTCCCACCCAATCCAATCTGACTTGGGCTAGGGACTGGGGTTTCGCTGGCTACAGGACATTCGTGGTCTGGGTTCTCTCTCTGAGGCAGAATATGCAGCTGCAACATCTCAGCACACAGGCCTGCGGAGAGATCTTGCTGTCAACAACAAGCATTCCAACCTCGAATGTTCGTCGTGTGTGGAAGGAAACCACATTGCACATACCATTCTGGCAGTCGGGCTTGCTGACTGGCTTAGCTGCACGCTGGTGGAGCCAGTATCGCCGCTGTGACGTTGCGGTTTGCTATCACTGTGAATACCTTGGGCCCGCAACTGATACTGACTTCACAGCACTGGTCCTGTTTCCTGTGGCTCCAGCACGATCCTCCATTGGCACTGTCTTTCCTGTGCTGAACCTCGGAAAACACTGATCGAGCAACAGACTCACAAGCCGATTGTCAGCCAGAGCTTCACAAACTTCAGCCTGAATAAATGCCATACTTTAGCTGACAATTGAAGCTTAGGCTGATGCTCTTCCGTGCAAGGGTTCCTGGCTTCTAGAGTCTTTAAGAAGAAGCAAAAGTACCAAGTCCTCTCTCGAGATCAAGTCCGGCCTTCCTGGCTTCACTCCCTGGCTGATATTGCCAGCGCCCTCAATGTGTATGAACCTTAGACGTGGCGTAGTAGATATCCGCTCTCTGCTTATGCTCCAAGAGGTCTGGAGGAGGGATGCCGAAAGGATTCTGCAGCCTACGACTCCGTGAAGCGTCGAAGGCATGTGTTGTTCCAAAATGGTACTACTCAAAATCCTCCACCAAGTTTGCGCATCCTGTGGTGACAGTGGCGCATTCAATCCCTTTGTTGGCATCCAGGGAACTCAATTCTCTCAACATCATTGCCGACCGCTTCGTCGAAGTCTGTCTGCACCTTAATCAGACAAAATCAAAGCTGGCGTTGGAGCCTTGAGCGCAAGGTTTCTTACCTCACGTGAATTGAAACTCATGCCTGTGCAGGCAGGGGCCCAGGCAACTGTGAAGTTCATCAAGCAGGTCCTTGGACATGGTAGGGACGTCATGGAGAAAAGAAAGCAGCAAATGCGAGACCTTATCAAATCTCAGCCTGCCACGCGCCAGCCCTCAAGAAGATAGGGTCGACAATGATCTCAGACCTGACAGCACCTGAGCCGCTTGAGAGCTCCAAGAATTTCTCATCACGTCAGCTGTGAAGGCAACCAAGCAGCAGCCAGGCTCACCTGGCATCAAAGGAATAATAGTAATAACAATAACAATAATAGGAATAATAATGGTACAAGTGGCAATAACGATAAAGTAATGAGAAAGCATAGTAATAACAATAATGACTGTAATAATACGACCAGAACCCTGGCTTGCCGCCGCCCATCGCGAAACACTGGCGGGCGTGTGATTTCGGGCATATGCAAGCCTAAACTTTTCAGGATACCGAACATTCCTCCGCGCAAGAAAAATGATTTTGTGGTGTTTAAAAAATCTAATATTCAGGAAAGTAAAGCTTCCTGTTGGGAAGTGCTTCTCTGTCACAGCCGCTGGCTTGACTCCAGGTTGAAACATTCACGCGGGAACACATCCAGGTCATCTCTGGAACCAGCTTGTCTAAAATCCCAACGAGCGACACAAACCGCAGGCCACAACTTCTGTGCAAGTGTGCAGCATCATGTGCTGTACAGGGAGGAAACCCCCGAAGCGGAAACACATGATGGGAGCCAGCCCATCTCTTACATCGTGCAAAGGCAGCGTGATTAGGCACTACAAACTTCACTCACTTTTCAAAAGAGTGAATCGCTCAACATGTCAACATCCTAGTTGTGTGGGAAAAACCATCCCATATTTCCAACCTGCAAATCCTGAATCCTAACTTCGACATTGCGTGCCAATGCACATGGTGCTGTCCATCCCGTACATCACCGTCCCCCGACCCCACCACCCCCCCTCCCCAACCCAACCAAGAAGCAACTTCTCGTGCCAAGAACGGCCCAAATAATCCGGATGCTGACTTGATGGCGAACGTGGAGGTCTGGGGGATAATAAGAATACTAATAAAACTAATACTAATAAGAAAATTAATAGTAACTGTAATAAGGATAATAGCAATAACTGTAGTAATAACAATAACAGGTGAGAATGGTAATAATAGTAGCAATAGTAATGTATGCCCAAGTGTTGGATCAGACATGTCGGCTGTGCAGCACTTCATGCTGGTGGTGTTGGAGAGGACGGATCCAGGGGCTAGCCTGCCAGCTCAAAGTGTGAAAGTCACAATGCTGCCCAATAATGATAGTAGTAATAAGAACAATAGGGTTTAGGGCTAATATGAGCTATAGTCTAAACTCCAAGTATCCCCATTAATAGACCCTATCGTGGACCCCTATATAAGCCCCTATATAACCCCCTTAAGGAGTTTAGACTATGGCTAATATTTTGTTTGTGATCGGGCTCTCAGGCGCCCACGCATCCGCCAGAATGTTCGCTCGCAGCTTGGCAATCTCCGAACTGTTCCTCGGCTCAGTGCAGCAACGTCGGCAGCTGTGAGCCCAAAGATTCTTTACTGAATTCTGGTATCTTACTCTATATGTATATATATATATACCGGATTATAATATAGTAGTTTCCATGTTCGATTCCATTATCCCTATCTCCCTATATTACCCCATATTAACGGGACCCAGGGTCAATCCGGCAGCGGCAAGTGTTGCATCATCAAGCCCGGCAGCGCCGTTGCGCAGCAGAGCTGCAACTGCATTGCTACTCGCCGCTGCAGTTTCATTTCCCAGGCCCGGCCCACGCACAGCTCCACCACCTGCGGCGCCTAGAAGACCCTCACCAGCACCAGCCGCGCCCGCCGCGCCCGAGGAGCCTAACGAACCCTCGCCATTTCCGGCATTCTCGTTGCCCAATAGATCACCCAAGTGCGCGAAGCGCAAGCCATTTCCAGTGAAGCCACCTCCACTTGAGCCACCTCTACCCAAGCCAGCTGCACTCAAGCCAGCTCCACTAACCCCCGCTGCAATCAGCGTTCGCTGCAGGTCTGCATCCGACAGGTCGGAAGCCCTGACTCGCGAATTGCTGGGAGCTCCTCCTTGCCCTGCATGGGGGGCAGCAACCGCGTGCAAAGCCACCTTTTTGCGAGCCTCAGATGCACAGACGCAAGCTTCATCTGCATGTGGTTGCAAATGCAGCTGTCTGGGCGCCAAGATGTGGCCTTGCAAATGCTGTAAGTCAGGGGCCATGCAAGTCACCACGGCCACTCCATTCAAGAGGTAGCCCTGGTAGGGGCACCTGGGCGCTCCCTATGTGCCACGAGCCTCTCTGCAGCTGCCGCCAACAGCACGATCGGAGTTATTCGAGGCCAAAGTGCTCATCTACCATCCTTGGCTGCATTCCTCTTTTCCCTACAGCTTTCTGTGAGGTTCTGCGCAACACTGTGCAAAGACCGTCCAGGGGCATGCCAAGTGTCTTGTTGATGGATCCCTCGATCACCAGCGAGCCTGTTTCTGCTAGAAGGTTGTCAACCTGAAGAAGACACAATAGCATGACAAACAAATTGGAAAAAATGCCAACGGGGGTTTGAGAAACTGCTGTTCAAGGCTGGCAACTTCAAAACAGGAAAAGGAACATGATTGTCATGCGTCTGCCATCTAAAGCTCAGCTCCACGCGCTCAGATCCTGCAAGCATGGCACCAACGGCCGCCATGCGGATGCCTTGCGAAGGTTTCAATACAATTATCGGAACGAGAGTGTGCTTTGAAGGGTTTTACTCTACAGTGAGAGGAAACAATAATAATTTGATGATTCGGTGATTGTTGTTGCTATCCCTATCATATCATTGACAGGTGGCAGAAGTAAAAGCAACAGCAGCAGCAGGTGGCGATGGCGGCGGCGGCGGCGGCGTGGTCGTGGTCTGTGGCGGTGCTTGTGGTGGTGTTTGTGATTGTGGCTGTGGTGGCTGTGGCTGTGGCTGTGGCTGTGGCTGTGGCTGTGGCTGTGGCTGTGGCTGTGGCTGTGGCTATGGCGGCGGTGGCGGTGGTGTTGGTGGTGGTACTGCT